ATTTTGCTATATGGCCCAGACTGGTCTCAAACTGCTGGGCTCAAGTAATCCTCCTGTCTTGGACTCCCAAAGTGCTAAGACTACAGGCATGAGACACCATGCCCAGCTTCCTTTAGCTTTTATAAGAAATTATTTTCCTGCTAAATTTCTAAAATTGACTGTTTAGACTCTGTCCTCAAATTTCCATATGCTATAATCTGATACAAAAAGGTGGTGTATTAACAGATCAATCCTAATTTCACAATAAGAGATATAATCAGACATCTATGTATCCTGATGTATTACACAGGAAGTATATAACATCACCTATCAAGCATTCTTGCCACTTGACAGAAATTCAAGGTTGAGAGAAACATATTAAAGACAAAAAAAGGATACATTCAGCAAAATCCAGAAGGTAGAAAATTTCTTAAGACAAATAAATTATAAGAAAAACAAAATGAGGGTAAATCTGTAAATTAAAACAAACTGAAGGCTCAGCATGGTAGCTCACACCTGTAATCCCAGCACTTTGGGAGGCCGAGGTGGGCGGGATCACCTGAGGTCAGGAGTTTGAGACCAGCCTAATCAACATGGTGAAACCTCGTCTCTATTAAAACTACAAAAAAATAGCTAGGCATGGTAGTGCATGCCTGTAATCCCAGCTACTCAGGAGGCTGAGGCAGGAGAATTGTTTGAACCCAGGAGGTGGAAGTTGCAGTGAGCCAAGATTGCATCACTGCACTCCCGCCTAGGCAACAGAGTGAGACTTTGTCTTAAAAAAAAAAAAAAAAACTTAAGAGACATATCATTCAAATGTAAAGTGTGGCTCTTCCTTAGATTCTAATGCAAAATTAAATTAACCACAGGGTGCCGTGGCTCACGCCTGTAATCCCAGCACTTTGGGTGGCCAAGGCTGTGGATCACTTGAGCCCAGCAGTTCGAGACCAGCCTGGGCAACACCGTGAGGCCAGTCTCTACAAAACATTAAAAAAAAAAAAAAAAATTAGCCAGGCATGGGTGGTGCATATCTGTAGTCCCAGTTACTCAGGAGGCCGAGGGAGGAAGACTGCCTGAGCCTGAAATTTGAGGTTCACTGCACTCCACTGTGGGTGATAAGAGTTTGAAACCTTGTCTCAAAAAACAAAAACAAAAACCAATCCCAAAACAAAACAAAAAGTAACCATAAAAAAATTATGAGACAGTGACAGAAACTTGAATACTGACTCAATATTTTATAATATTAAGAAATTATTAATTATTATGTTTCAGTATGATAGTAGCATTATGGCAATACCTTTTTAAAAAATTATCTTTCAGGTACATATATTAAAATATGTAAAGATAAAATGAAATGACTTCTGGGATTTGTTTTATAATAATTCATGGGTATGCGGGGAGGTTATGAATGAAACAAAATGCTAATAATTGAAGCTAAGCTATGAGAACATGGGAGTTCAAAAAATTATCCTCTCTACTTCTGTAAACACTGAAACTTTATAAAGTAAAAAAGTTTTTTACGTTTATGGCTGTTATATAAATCAATACAGAGTAATTATAATTAGAGAAAGGGAGAAAAAGTAACTTAAGACAGCTAAAGCTTATCATAGTAGAATAAGTGCAGTCTACGTTTATTCGTTGTTGTTGTTTTTTGTATTTTTTCACAACCCAGTATAGACAGATTTTTTTTTTTTTAAGAGAAGGTGGTCTCACCATGTTGCCCCAGCTGTATATAAACTCCTGAGCTCAAGCGACCCTCCTGCCTCAGTCTCTCAAGTAGAGAGGATTGCAGGTATGTGCCACTGTGCTTGACTTAAATTTAATAAATCAAAAATAGTACTGTAAGCATATTACTTTGATTTATGAAATCACCTCTCAGAGGAGAGGTAAAAGAATTAAAAGCGGCTGCCACTGGGGAATAGGCCTAGTGGTTAAGGAAATAGTGGGGTAGAAGATGGTGGTTTTTCATTATAAGCTTTTCATAGTATTTGATTTTTTAAAACTCTTTACATTTATTATTTATTAAGTTTTTGTTTTGTTTTGTTTTTGAGACAGAGTCCCACTCTGTCCCCCAAGCTGGAGTACAGTGGCACAATCTCTGCTCACTGCAACCTCTGCCTCCCAGGTTCAAGTGACTCTCCTGCCTCAGCCTCCTGAGTAGTTGGGACTACAGGTACATGCCACCAAGCCCAGCTAGTTTTTTGTATTTTCAGTAGAGACGGGGTTTCGCTGTGTTGGCCAGGCTGATCTCGATCTCCTGAACTGGTGATCTGCCCGCCTCAGCCTCCCAAAGTGCTGTGATTACAGGCGTGAGTCACCGCACCTGGCTACATTAAAGATTTTTAAAACTAACTAAAAAATTAACTTTGCCCAAAAAATTGGTCCTACTTAGTGTATTTAGCAGATATGCCTTGAATTTTACTTCAACTAGAATTAATATTGCTAATTCTTATTTCTTTTTATTTGTTTTCTCCTCAAAATACTTTTGTTGTATTTTTATTTTCAGCCTGCTTCATTTTAAAGGTATATCTCTTGGGACATAATTAGACATGAGAGTCATTTCTATAGTTTGATTCAGTTATTATTCTCTACATTGTAATTACTTAGTTGTTTTGTCTTTTAAAAAATTCTGTTCAGGGCCGGGCACGGTGGCTCACGCCTGTAATCCCAACACTTTGGGAGGCTGAGGCAGGCAGATCATGAGGTCAGGAGATGGAGACCATCCTGGCTAACACAGTGAAACCCCATCTCTACTAAAAATGCAAAAAATTAGCCAGGCATGGTGGCGGGCACCTGTAGTCCCAGCTACTCAGGAGGCTGAGGCAGGAGAACGGCGTGAACCTGGGGGGGGCGTTGCAGTGAGCCCAGACTGCGCCACTGCACTCCAGCCTGGGTGACAGTGCAAGACTTTATCTAAAAAAAAAAAAAAAAAAAATTACGTTCATTCATCATTAGTTAGGGAGAGATCTAGCAACAGATAAAAGAGGCAGTGTTTGCAATTTTCTCTCTGTCCACTTGTTTATTAACAACTTCTCCCTCTCAGATTTGAAAGTTCTGAGAAATTTTAGTTCTGAGAGTTCTGACTGGAAGGGAAGTTTATAAAGTCCCTATTGTGGTTGCAAGCAGCTACTTCGTCCACTAAGGGTCTGCTGGATAGAAGTGGTGATTGCTTTCTATCCAACTGAGTCAGATGTAATCTGCAATTTTTAGTTCAAGTAGAGAAGATGACAGATAAGACCATGCCATCACTAGGGCTTTTTCTTATATATTTAGAAACCTTCTGATATAATTTACCATCCAAATGCCTCTCCTAACTGCTATATTATGTATCGAGAATTTTAGTGTGAACAAATATAAGAAGTAAAAACCTGATAGGACCAAAGAACCAGCTGTGAAACTCTGGCTGGCTCAGATTATACCTTTGCAATTTAGCGGTAGTATTTTTTTTTTTGTTATTCCGGTGCTTCCCAGAACATAATATGTATACCATGGAAAACTGTTGGTGGAAAAAGAATAAATGTTGTATTTTAATAGTTGTATAGTTATTTAATTAATTTATTTGAGACAGGTCTAGCTCTGTTGCCCAGGCTGGAGTGCAGTGGTGCGAGTGGCACCATCTCAGCTCACTGCACCGTGCTTTGCCTCCCAGGCTCAAGAAATCCTCCTACCCCCTGCCTCCCAAGTTATTGGGATTACAGGTGCATGTCACCACGCCTGGCTAATTTTTGTATATTTTTTGGGTACAGATGGGGTTTTGCCATGTTGTCCAGGCTGGTCTCAAACTCCTGGGCTCAAGTGATCCACCCACTTCAGCCTCCCAAAATGCTGGGATTATAGGTGTGAGCCACCACACCTGGCCTGTATATTTATTTTTAAACGTATTCTAAACAATACAGATTTTCCATTTGCAGAACTAATATATAATTTCCTTTTGAAGAAAATGAGAATTCAAAAGTAAGTAAAATTTTTTTCTATTTCCTAAGGGGCCTTCTGCAGTGCTCTGGTTCAGGAGTAGAATACATGTAGCCTAGGAATATGATAAAGATAATATTAATTGCCTCCAGACTAGTGAATTTGTTCTTCCTTCATGTTTCTCATGTGCTGTTGTCAAGGTTAGTTTTAGATTTCATTGGTGTTTAAGATAAAGTTGGGAGGGGGCATTTAGGCGGAGTAACCATGGTCTCTCTTCACTGCATCCAGGTGCTAAACTCATCTCTTTCTGAGATTTTGACCAGGAAAAGTCTAAATGTCTTCCGATAATAAATAAGTATTATGTATAAGGAACTATTGAGCACTGCTATAAGCAGTATAGTAAAGTGGTTAAGAGAGATGGCTCTAAAGGCAGACTTGCACATTCAAATCCCAGTCCAGTAACAACCTGGACCTTGGGAAAATCAATCTCTCAATCTCCCAATGCCTTAGTTTCCTTATCTATAAAATGGGGATTCTGGCCAGGCGTGGTGGCTCACTCCTGTAACCCCAGCACTCTGGGGGGCTGAGGCAGGTGAATCACCTGAGGCCAGGAGTTCAAGACCAGCCTGGCCAACATGGTGAAACCCCATCTCTAGAAATATACAAAAATTAGCTCAGCATAATGGCAGGTGCCTGTAATCCCAGCTACTCGGGAGACTGAGGCAGGAGAATCCCTTGAAGCTGGGAGGCGGAGGTTGCAGTGAGCCGAGATCATGCCACTGCACTCCAGCCTGGGCGATGTGAGACTCCATCTCTAAATAAATAAATAAATAAAAGAAAATGGGGATTCTATAAAATTGGGATAGTAATGAAATCTATTTTATAGGTGTGTTAAATGAGTTAATACCATAGCACTTCCATAATAACAACTGCTAACTGCTACTGAGTATTTTAAATGTGTCTAGCACCATGAGAAACGCTTTATACATATCATCACACAAGATATATTTCACATAGTGAAAAGACAGTTTTTCATATGTCCAAAGTACAAATGAAGCTGATTTTAAACATAAGAAATGGTCCAATTATTTTCTGTAAATGAAACTTACTTTTGCTTTAAAACTGTTCTGAGAGCATCTTTCTGTCCCACTGTATACTGAGAAATGAAGATGTCATTTGCTGCAAAATCAAGACACAAAAATATATATTAAATTCCTGAATATTTGTTAAATTTTAATAAGCTACTAAAAAAATCTTTTTTAACTAAAAGAATGTTTAGGAACTCAGCCATAGCACTCCACAATTGAAAAGGACAAGGAACAAATTAAGTGATTAAGTAATAATATAATCCTCGTAATTCCAAACCCACAGCCAACATCATACTGAATGGGCAAAAGTTGAACACATTCCCCCTAAGAACTAGAACAAGACAAGGATGCCCACTCTCACCACTCTTTTCAGCATAGTAGTGGAAGTCTTAGCCAGAGCAATCAGACAGAGAAAGAAATAAAAGGCATCCAAAAAGTAAAAGAGGAAGTCCAATTATCTCTGTTCACTGATGACATGGTCCTATACCGAGAAAACCCTAAAGATTCCTCCAAAATGCCCCTAGATCTGATAAATGACTTACGTAAAGTTTCAGGATACAAAATCAATGTACAAAAATCAGTAGCGTTTCTATACACTAATAATGTTCAAGCTGAGAATCAAATCAAGAACTCAATGCCATTTACAATAGTGGCACACAAAACATAAAATTCATAGGAATACATTTAATCAAGAAGGTGAAAGATCTCTACAAGGAGAACTACAAAACACTGATGAAAAAAAATCACAGATGACACAAACAAGTGGAAAACATTCCATGCTCATGAATTGGAAAAATCAATATCATTAAAATGACCATACTGCCCAAAGACATCTACAGATTCAATGTAATTCCTATCGAATTACCAACATCATTTTTCAAAGAATTAGAAAAAACTATTTTAAAATTCATATGGGGTCAGACACGGTGGCCCTGTATTTCCAGCACTTTAGGAGGCTGAGATAGGCAAATCACTTGATGTCAGGAGTTTCAGACCAGCCTGGTCAAGATGGTGAAACCCTGTCTCTACAAATACAAAAGTTAGTTGGGTGTGGTGGCGTGCACCTGTAATCCCAGCTACTCAGGAGGCTAAGGCAGAAGAATTGCTTGAATCTGGGAGCCGGAGGTTGCAGTGAGCCGAGATCACGCCACTGCACTCCAGCCTGGACAACAGAGGGAGACTCTGTCTCAAAAAAAAAAAATATAAACATACGTAATACTAAACCTATGCAATAGATTGGTAATAACAAGATAACCTTCACCATTGCAAACCTTATTCTGGATTTTACAGATTCTAGGAATAGCTTAATTTGGGAAGAAAAACTAATTTAAAATGAAAATAATAAAAACTAGTAAGACTATGTAATAAATGCTTAAAAATAAATTCTACCCTTAAGAAGAAAATTCTGACACATGCAACAACATGGATGAACTTTGAAAACATTATGCTAAGTGAAATAAGCCAGTCACAAAAGGTCAAATACTATATGATTCTACTTATATAAGGTACCTAGGGTAGTCAAATTCATGGAGACAAAAAGTAGGATGCCCAGGGCTGAGGGGACGAAAAATGAGCAGTTAGTGTTTAATGGGTAGAGTTGGGAGAGATGACAAAGCTCTGGATATGAAAGGTGATGATGACTGTACAACAATGTGAATGTACTTACCGTCACAGAACTGTACATTTTAAAATAGCTAAAGTGGTAAACTTTATGTTAAGTATATTTTATAACAATAAAAAAATCAATATTATTCTTTTACCTTTTTGTTTGTTGTTCTCTTCTATTTTATCCAAAGGCAACACTTGCACTGCAACGTCTTTAGAAAAATCCTTTGGGATATGAAAGGAAGAAATAGGATAAATAAACTTCGGATTTATTATTTATCAAGAACCATTTACTAGCTATGTGACTACTGTGTTCTGGGAGGGCAGGACTGTGTATTTCATATGCTTCATTTCCATCACCACACAATGCTGATATACCTTAAAGCTACTCAAAGATTTGTTGAATGGGTGAGTAACACACTATCAGACAAGCAAATGAATGAGTAAATGAAGCAGCAAGCAAATGTAGCACTGAGATTCAGACTCAAACCAGTATACCAATTTTAGCAGAGCAAGTCATTTAACATCTCAGTTGCTTCAGTGAAACGTAAAAATCTGACTCACTGTGAGTCAAATGGAGTAGATAAGGATGGCACAATATCATGAAGATCACAGATTTATCCTCAATTATACAATAACAGTGTATCCATACATTTGAGAAGTTTAGATATCATTAAATAAGGCCTGCTTAAAAGAAAAAAAAAAAAAAGACAAAACAACAACAAAAAACCACTCCAAAGTCTAGGCATTTACATAGGGACCAAGTACAGCACAAAATTATACAAAATGTATAAATTGTGAGCTTTTGACAAAATTGTCATATAGTTTTAATTGAATTATTAGTTTACCTGCTTCAATTTTCAAAATAGTATATTGTGAAACTCATTATACAGACTTATTAAACTGACAATACATAGGTCAACACTATGATTTGCTATCAAAGTCTAATTAGATCTCATAACCAAAACATTATATTTATCAAATACGTTCGGCATTATAAAGTTAAGATGATAATTTCATGTTATTCTTAAAGAACCTCTCTTCTAAAAAAAACCAAAACACCTCACAAGTGTTAGAATGACATGCAAGCACACCTCATGTTAAAGAAAATTGTACTGTTAGTTGTTCCTTTTCTTTTACCTAAAAATATGTTAAGTCTCTGGGCTTAACACCTTTTCCCTGAATAGTAAGAGAGCTTCTTTTCAGTTATCAAATCTCTTTCAGCGGCCATTATTTTAATAATGGGTATTTTTGATACTAGGAAAGGCCTTTTGTTTAATGTCTCAAACACCATTCAAAGTCACAATTGTAGTATATAAAATATTGGTTTGGTAAGTGATATTTAAATAAAAACAAGGCATGTTGCTAATCAAACATAATTTAAGAATACATTATTTGACAACACTGAAAATTTTAATGTGAGCATAATTAAGAATCCTTTTGCTTACACTTTCTGACACCATGGGATTTTCTTTTAGAGGCTGGTGACAATTTCTAGCAGAAGTTAAGTCTGATGAACCTAACAAAACAAAGGAATAGATTTTAGTGATTTTAAAATCAGATCCTTAGCTTTAGAAACTGTATAGGCATGATTCAAGACCTATAAACTCCATATAATGCAGACGTTGGAAGGACAATTTGCGTGCAAAGAAAGTTAAGAAAATGTATTTAAACATATCTGAATGAAGGCTTTTACAGTTGATATTTGGGAAAATAAGGTTCGGCACTGACAATAAAGTGAGATAAGCATGAAATATTTTAAAATATAACCATACACTATTGGATGTGGACAATCTATGGGTAGAAATACGTATACGATGTAAAGGTCTAATTTAACAGCAGGACTATTTGAGTGTCACCGCTGTATCCCCTAAAAAGCAGCATTATAAAAGCATTTTGCTGTTTTTGCTCACATATTCATTAACTTGATCCTCACAATTAGCAGCGAAGTGGGTAAAGCATATGTTATCCTTATTTTCACTGAGGTTTAGACAGATTAAGTGAATTGGAATATAGAAGCCATCAACTGGCAGAAGTCCTGTTTTTCCCACTATTAACAGAAAGTAGTGCATTAGGTAAAAAGTACTATTTTGGGGGAAAACTATAAAAAACACTAGCGGGGAAAATAAACCACATTATACAAGTTAAGTGTATCCACCATAGATATAAACAAAAACAATATGCAAAAGTCAATGCCAAAAAAAAAAAAAAAAAAAGCACAACAGGAGACGTTAAAGTTTCATTCATTAGATCTATTCAAACATTTTATAGGCTTCCTGGCCATTTTCCCGGGAAACAGGGTCAGTTTTCAAACATCTGTACAAACTAGACTTATATCTTACGTCTGGGAATTTAAACAAATAAGGACTAAAGATTTACTAAACTAAAACTGGTTGAAAAATTACATAGAATCACATACCACATGACGGTCCATTCAAGCTAGTTCCCGTTCCAACAGGAAGACGTTTATTTGCAGACAATGCCGGAGGAACACAGGGCAACTCATCTTTCAGCAAAACCAAATGATCTCCATGATTTTGAGAAACTACCTCACGAAGTCTCTTCGCTGGCATCTTAATCCTTTTTTTCTTCTCCAAGCTGACCTCAGAGCCTTTCATATTGTTGTTCACAAAACAAGTCCCACACTTATGGACGGAAAAACTTTCTCTGTGTCCTTAAGACTTCAGAACAAAATTTTCACCTCTTTGCAATGAACTGTTCTTAAAATGTCGAAATAGAACATCCACAAAGCTGAAAATTTAAATTTTGGTATTGAATCCAGGATTAGAGATGACTATAAAGTCCTATTTACCCATTAATCCCACTTAAGTCTATTAATACACCACGCCAAAATGTGAAAGTGGGGATGCCAAGAGAATGGCCACAGGAGCAACAATAACCATTAACAGTGCACTCCCCAGTCCCAGAGCTGGTAGGGCAAAACCAAACAGATGTAGAGGAGGGCTTAAAATTTGTTAAGAGGCAGTCAAGTAGATAAAACCGAAATGCTATTTTTAAAATAATGACCCACATAAGAAGCGTAATAGCTTTCTTCAGTCACAGAGTCTTACACACCCCTCCAGATGCAATCGTCGGAAACATAAATTCATCTCTACGTGTCTCCAGGACGCCAGAGACCCGCGCAGTCACGGATATTAACCGACAACAACTTCAGTTGCCCGCAGGTCAACACCCACTTCCCTTCAAACCCGCCCTTGAGACACAACACGCATGCGCGCCAACAAACTCACCCAAAGCATCCAACCAGAAAGCTAAGCGCTCGCTGGTGCTCTTCCATCCCTCTCCGGGCGGAAACAAACTCCGGACATAACGGAGGCTTATTTATTTATTTATTTATTTATTTATTCATTCATTCATTCATTCATTCATTCATTTATTTATTTAAAGGTAGCACATTGCCGCACAAGACCGCGCCACAGTCTCATCTGAAACTTGAAGAGCTCCCGACTTGTAATACTACTTGTGTTTATCGGGGGCTGTTTACACTGCCTGGCTTCCGAAGACCGTTAGGGACGTGGGATTAGGTAAATTAGGCTTCCAAAGAGTTTCGACAGATTCGGGTCGTTATTGGAGAGGAAGTCGGGAATAGAAAGCATTGTCTAAGCAGACAATCACAGAGATCAATCCTTAGCAGATTTTAGAATTCGCTGATGGTACGTGCATTTTCTTCTAGATTTCCTCTCGTTATAACGAATCGGCGTCTTAGGGTTTAAGTGTCACTTGACATCACTGCTCCCACGTGTTCTTTCCCATCTGGCTGCCGCGGCTCCTGTCCTGACCCTGACCCGCCCTCCCGAGGCTCAGCCGTCCCCCAACGCCCCCCAGCCTTGCACTGATGTCGGATGCGAGAGCCTGTGCTTAAGTATGGTGCCTGTTCTCTGCCGTGAGAATCCGGGGTTCCCGGGCGGGGGGTGGCAGGCTACGCTCCAGAAAATTGGCGGGGTCTCCCGAGGAGGCCGGCGCATGTACTTGGGGCAGTGGGGGGTGCGAAGCGGGATAGCGCTTCGCCAGGTCCGGTGCAGACCTTCCTGGGGATGGTGTCACCTGGGCGAGGGTAGGAACTTTAGGCCCTGAGACACCCCCAACCTGGATCTGGGGAGTCGGGGGTCTTGTTTTGGGACACTGAATTAGACTATAAGATATTTACGCTGTGACCTTGAGCTGCCCGGTGGATGATCCTCCTTTAAATGAAAATCGTCTCTAGACATACCAGGTCTAACAGCCCTTACCTGATCTGTTCATTTCCCAGCATGCGCTACTTAGAGTTTTCCCTTTATGCCTTACTAGAGGCTTTAGAATAATCAAAGCAAAAAATGTAATCCGATCTAAAAGCTAAATGACGAATTTTATTTCTGTTACATCTCGGCGATCTAGTTGCATAGAAGTCTAGACTTAAAATGGAATTTCAAGTCCGAGCGCGGTAGCTCACGCCTGTAATCCCAGTACTTTGGGAGGCCAAGGCGGGCGGATCACCTGAGGTCAGGGGTTCGAGACCAGCCTGGCCAGCATGGTGAAACTCCGTTTCTAATGAAAATACAAAAAATTAACTGGGCATGGTGGCGCGCGCCTGTAGTCCCAGCTACTCAGGAGGCTGAGGCAGGAGAATTGCTTGAACCCGGCAGGTGGAGGTTGCAGTGAGCCGAGATCGCGCCATTGCGCTCCAGCCTGAGAGAGCAAGACTGTCTCAAAAAAAAAAAAAAAAAAAACTGTAAGGGCTCAGCGTTAAAGAACCTTTTAATTATTTGTACCTTGCTGAGTTTCTCTAATTAATGAGGGTTTTTTTTTTTGGAGACAAAGTCTTGCTCTGTCGCACAGGCTGGATTGCAGTGGCGCGATCTTGGCCCACTGCAACCTCCGCCTCTCAGGTTCAAGAGGTTCTTCTGCCTTAGACCTCCTGAGTAGCTGGGATTACAGGCGCCCACCACCATGCCCAGCTAAATTTTTTTGTATTTTTATTAGAGACGGGGTTTCACCATGGTGGCCAGGCTGGTCTCGAACTCTTGACTTGGTGATCCACCAGCCTCGGCCTCCCAAAGTGCTGGTAATTACAGACGTGAGCCACCGCGCCCAGCCATTACTTTTTATTTTAGTTACATTTTCCCTTCTTAATTGGGCTCATAGCTGGTACCTGTTTGTTCACAATTTATTGCATATTATGAGTGTACTGAAAGAACTACAATGTCACAGCTGCCAGAGACCTTGGAGATAGTTTAACTCTTACTTTCTAGGTGATACTTATTTGAAAGAAACAGTGACCTAAGATCTGTGTAGACACTCTGAATTATTAAAATGACAACTTAATTTGGATCTTACAGCTCTTTGTCATGACTCTTTAGTTCCTCTTCCCCCAACCCCCGCGCCCCCATCCCCCACCCCCACCCCCCGCCCAGAGACTGGGTCTTGCTCTGTCATGATCATAGCTCACTGCAGCCTTGAACTCCTGAGCTCAGGCAATCCTCCTGTCTCAGCCTCCTGAGTACCTAGGACTACAAGCACTTGCTACCACACTGGCTAATTTTTTACTTTTTGGTAGAGACTAGGTCTTGCCTTATTGCCCAGGCTTATTTTCTTTTTTCTTTCCTTTGTGTGTTTGTTTTTTTTTTTTTTGTTTTTTTTGAGATGGATCTTTGTTGCAAAGGCTGGAGGGCGGTGGCACAATCTCAGCTCACTGCAACCTCTGCCTCCCGGGTTCAAGCGATTCTTCTGCCTCAGCCTCCCAAATAGCTGGGATTACAGGCACCCGCCACTCCGCCCAGCTAATTTTTGTGTTTTTATTAAGATGGGGTTTCACCATGTTGGCCAGGCTCGTCTGGAACTCCTGACCGCATGTGATCTGCCCACCTCGGCCTCCCAAAGTGCTGGGATTACATGCATGAACCATCGATGGTGCCTGGCTTTATTTTCTTACCCTAAATCAGCCCTCTCAACCCCTTTTCTTTATGACTGATACTTTTCAAAAGACCAGTCAGGTTGTCTTACAAATTGTTCCATGTTGTAGATTTTCCTAATTATTCCCTCATGATTAGAGCGTATCAAACTTTTGGCCAGAATACCACATAGGTGATGCTATCTTACTGCATCTCACCAGGAAACACCTAATGTTGGCACCCATGTTTGTGATGCTAGGTTTTATGACTTAGCTTATACTTTTTTTCTTTGAGACAGGGTCACTTGATCTGTCACCCGGGCAAGAGAGCAGTGGCTTGATCATGGCTCACTGCAGCCTCGAGCTCCTGGGCTCGAGTGATCCTCCTGCCTCAGCCTCCTGAGTAGCTGGGACTACAGGCACACACCACCATGCTGGCTCATTTTTGTATTTTTGGTAGAGATGGGGTTTTGCCATGTTGCCCAGGCTGGTGTAGAACTTATGGGCTCAAGCTGTCCACCCAACTCAGCCTCCCAAAATGCTGGGATTGAGCCACTGCACCTGGTCAGTCACTTAGCTTATAACATATATTTGGCTATTTGGAAAATATTTTTAGATAGATGATATATGCCATAATAGCTTATAAGACATTTCATAGGTCTTAAATAGGTCATTTTATAGGTACAATGGGGAAAATACTGGATTTTGAAGTCCAAACACCTTAGTTAGGCTGCAGCTGCCCGGTTACTATCTGTATAAGTGACCTCATGTGAGTTTCTTAAGATTTCTGAACCATCCCTCCCAGAATTAGTAGGAAAATCATAAGGGAAGTGTAATGTATACTTATACCTGGACAAATAAGGATAGCATGACATTAAGTATTTTTTTTAATAGTAACACATATGCCAAAGAATTGTAACCTCAGACTAGAGGAAACTAATTTCACTTACTAAAAAGGAAGAAACTTAAAAAAAAAAAGATTAGCCAATAGAAGTTTACATTTCATTGAAAAGACTATTAGAACTTGAAGGAGCCGGGCGCCGCAGTGGCTCACGCCTGTAATCCCAGCTCTCAGGGAGGCAGAGGCGGGGAGATAGCTTGAGCCCAGGAGTTCGACGACCTGCCTGGTAATATAGCGAGACTGTTCTACAAAAAAAAGGACAAAAAAAAAAAGAACTTGAAGGGGACTTAGTAATCATATTACCTCATTTTTCAGGTAAGAATCAGGCCTACTGGAGACATTCAAGCAAGGTTGGACAACTACTTTCCAGAACAGAAACGAAACTCATGCGTCAGAAAGGGTTTGAGCTGATGACTGAAAAGATCTCCCATTATTCTTAGTTCCTCTGGTTCTATGATGTTTTTGTTTGTCACAAGAATAAAGAACATCTGTAGTCATTT